TGCGCTGTGTAAGGAGAGCTTAGCTAAAATATCATGACATGCTGAAGGGGTAGGCCAGTCAGGCATCTCTGTAGAAAAGAGGTTGCTCCACTCATCTGTGGTAACGTTGACTTCAGTGCCTTACTTGGGTAGCGAGCATGCAGGTGAGTCCACAGATGTGTTGTACTTGAGTAGGTATCTGCTTTTTTGCAGAGTCAGCAAACTGTTTACCTTGACACCACTCCGGTGTCATTACTGTCCGATCAGCACAGCTTTGCTCGTTACTGTCCCACATTTTGTCCATGCAAACATCATGTTACTAGCTCCCTTTACTGACCGGTCAACAGGACATGTATCTGGTCAAGGTGATAGTGAGTTTTAAGAACATCCTCTGTTGGCCCACAAGGCAAATTACATCAAATGGCCTGTTGTGCTTATTGACATAGCGTACATTGTTGAATTCAAACAGGCCATTACAGTTGGAATAGTTTTTTTTTTTCGTTCAACCACATTCAAAGGAATGTTCAAAACTGAAGAAATAAAAAAAGACAGCCCTAGCATTGTCATTAAGATGTCAGGATATCACAGTATAATGTCTAAACATGTTACATAAAGGGACTGTTCCTACTGGGGAAAAAATGGATAAAAAATAAACAAACTTTTTCATGATTTGGATTTCTCTGCTCCATCTGTCCTTATTCCATGGTGTGAGCTCCAGGCGGCACATTTTCACAGCTAGTTTTTCATTTGTTTCCTACAAAACATACAACAGAGATCCCAATAATTTATAAAAACATAAAATTGACATCTTCTTGTGAAAGACAGTTTAAATACTTTAATTCTGAAGTGAGACCTGTGTAGGTATGAAGTTATAGTTATTGTACTGATTAATTAGCAAAGTGTTCCCTTGATGTTTTAGGACTTAGTGTCACGGGTTACATGGTTCAGCACTCACATGATGTTGGTAGAGGTAAACATGGGCAAACCCGCCCATACCCAGCCTCTCTTTCAACTCCCAGTCTCCGCAGTTCTGGTTCTGCCTGAAGGGAGGTTTCTCCATTGTCTTCACAAGAGCTGCAACAATTAGTCCATTAATTGATTAGTTAATCGACAGAAAAAGAATCGCCAACAACTCTCGATCGATTCATTGGTTTAGGTACAAGATTTGTTGTTTTTCTTCAATCTGAGAATTTGATTCTCATACTTGTCATAAATGACAGTCAACAGGGTATCTTTGTGTTTAATGTACGGATAAAACTATAGGTCTAAAGATAACTCTGGTCTGTTGGAAAGTATTACAAGTGGTTTCATCCTTTTCAGGCATTCTATAGAGAAAACTATGAATCACAAGACAACTGAAATAAACCGCATTTGCCGCTGTAGCTATAAGGTTATGCTTCACATTAACAAAAAACTGTTACAGTTATATTTCAGTGCGTTTATGTTTTATATTGTATTTTAGCTAAACAAAGCTATCAAGTACAGGTACCAGCTACAAGACTACATCCCGGAAAATCTCCTGTCAAAATACTTTCGATGTTAGCACAGTAATGTTGACATGCTGACGTTTAGAGACAATAAGGTAGTAGCACTCTATCTAATCTTACACATAACATATTTAACAATTGACGGTAGGTATGAAAATGCAAAAATTAAGCAAACAGTTTTCTAATGTTGGCCACATTTGCTACCTCACTGACCAACGCACCGTCAACAGTTTAGCCGTAGCTATGAATTTCAGGAAATAGCCGGAGCCATTCACTAGCTTTCTAGCATCTGGAATTGAAGGCTTCGACGCCAGTTAAGTGACGTTTCGGCGTCTTTGAGATGAGCTACTGTTAAAACGCGTTTTGACACTTACTTTGGGTTTGTATAGCAGTGTCATGGGCCGTTGTCGAATATGTGCTGTCTTCTTGTTTTTGGGTCAGTGCACCAAATACAGTATGTACTTTGCTGCGTGTTGTCACCACAATCCCCGGCTATGATTCTTGAAAATGAAACGGGTCGGTTCAACAACACAACGCGCCTCTTCTTCTTTTGTGGTTATTTGATGATTGTCAAACAGCTTTACGCGCTTTACCGCCCCCCGCTGAACTGGAGCGTGGCTGAGAATGGGTACTACTGTACCAAATTGTACTAATTCTCTTTTTTAAATTTTTTTATCCCAGTCTTTTACCCTGGGTCACAGTTTCACAATCCCACTTCATTATAACAAGATTTTTAAATAAATCATTCATAAGTCATACAGTCAATTAATTGCAACTGTAAATGTCTTTATAATATAGAAGAATAAAACATTTCTATCCGGTGTTGTTTTTCCCACCCATCCAAAAATACTATTTTTCCCCTGACAGCTAACAAACAAGGTTTGATTGCTAGATTCTGATTCAAATTCAGCTTTGACTTATTTTTATTTTAGAGAGGTGTATGATTTAAATCTTGTTATTTTTTTTCATTATTATCCACCCATGATCTGGTTTGACATTTTAAATTCATTAAAAAGAACAGTTAAATTAAATGTTAAGAAGCCTAAATAAATAAAAACTGACAAGTGTCTTCATCATCTCTATTGTCAGTTGTTTAAAAAATTCATTACCTTCTTTGAGACACTCTGAGGAAGATGTGTGCCAATATAATTTGTCTTATGTATATGTCCTTAAGCTACTTATTAAAAGCCTTTTATTTTTAATTATCCATTCAGTATATTCTGATTTATTATGCTGCACCTCATACACAGATGAAGGTCTAGTTCCATTTTAAAATTTTGCCTAGATTAATTTGTTGTTCTCCAATGAATTAAAAATATACTGTATAGCTATATATTATAGACCTGGGGGTAAGAAACAAAACCTAAAATAGTGTTAAAAACACTTGATTTATTTTTAAAAAACTACACATTGTGAAATAAATGTAGTAAAGCAACATGTACAATATATGTGAAGTAGAAAGTAGAAATATTTACCTACTCAAGTGAAGTACAAGTACCCTGTAGTAAATGCACTTAGATTCCACACAATGACATTCAGACACTGTTAACCTCTCAAAACACTTTTATTTTATCTTCTATGCCTCCCGAGATGAGAAGTTCACAAACATTTCCTTGGTAAGTTTTCACAAGGCAGTGACACATGTAGCTCACTGTGTGTAGCAGAAAATGAACATTGCCTTACCTGCACCAGTCTAAAAAACACTGAGATGGATCAGACCAATCCTCTACATGTAAAATCATTTGTATGAGCTGGCTCTCTAAAACACAACAGCATACAGCAGCATTAAATATAGCCATTTCCTTCATCCATATTGATAAAAAACATGACCATGGACAGTAAAAAAAGTGTTGACTTACTTTATTATATTATATTAACCCTCTTTTAATACTCTAACCATAATATAAATGAAAGCAGGCCATAATATCTCATGCTTTATTTACACATCACATTCAGAAATGACACTGTGATGGAAATGGTACACACTGAAAGGACAGTTTGTCCAAACGGTTGCAGGCAGCACCGCTGTTTTAACAGAGGTATTCTACCGCTGTGGATGCATTAACAACAGGGTGACTTTGACCGAAGCATCACTGCACAATCACCAGGGGAACCAGTCACTCATTTCCATGCCAACCAGTGCAGAGGAGATCCTGGAGCTGCTCTCTGACAACACATGGGGTAGGACGAGAGGACGTACTGTGTGGTCACTATAAAGTCTGAGCCTAGACTACATGTAATACACAGGTAAGATTAAGTTGCTGCGCTCGTTATGTTTGATTTGATTTACTTAGTTTAGATGTTGTTTCAGTGCAGTCTCCAGTTAGTAAAAAAAAAATCAATTAAACTTTTCAGTTGAATGATCATCTATTAGTTCTTTAAATCATAATAAATGACAATCTTTGTGAATATTATAAAGGTTATTTTCCCAATTAATCAGTCTGTAAAATGTAAGAAAATTGTGAAAAACATCAATTCTGACATTCAAATTTGACATTTTTATGTTGCTTGGTTTGTCTGATTAACACGCCAGCATACAAATAAATTTACCGTTAAAGAAAAGCTGAGAATTTCTGGCTTACTTGCTTGAAAAAATACCTGCAAAGATTAATTGATAATCAAAACAGTTGCAGGTAAATTTCACTTAGTTCAATTAATAGTTTCAGTTGGCATGTACATGTGAGATTGCGAGTTCAGTCCTAACCTTGGAAAAATCAGCTGACAAAAACAAAGCGCTTGGAGAAATAGAGGAAATCTGATTAACTATGTATTCTTGGGAGCTGGACAAACCCCATGTGAAGGAGAAGAGCGCGTGATACAATCAGAAGCTCCAGAACACTGAGCAACGGACCTGGTGGTGAGGTTGTTTTGTAAAATATACATCTGCGCAAAACTATATGTGCAAGCTGTGGCTGCTTGGTTCAGTTAATAATGCATTGCGTGAAAAATGTCTACACTGTGTCTAAACAATACACAAAAAGGTTACTTTAACATAGCTGCTTAAGTGTGGAATAAAAAGACTTAAGTTTCAGGATGAGCTCTGAGAAGTGCTCTAATATTTATGCACTACTGGTATATTCTCATCATGAGACTGGCTGCTCTGTGACACATTATAAACAGCAGGCTCCAACACTGTTAATAAACACAAAGCTGTAACGTCTCAATGTCAGTTATGGCAACAACATACAAACTTTTTAAAAGCACCACAATGAACAGAGACAGAGGAAAAGGAAAATGGGGCGTGCAGGTGAGAAAAGCAGATGTTGAGATGAAAATAAAACTCAGCAGAGCTTCAACTAATGATTATTTTCATTATGGACTAATTGTTCAGCACTGTTTCTTTTAATGGATCCTTTTTAAAGGTACAATGATTAATCAAGCAATCAATTAGTCAATTGATAAAAAATAATCTGCAACTATTTTGATAACTGATTAATCATTCTGAGTTTTATGGACAATTGTTAGTTGCAGCCATATTTCTATTAATCCAGCAAACACTAAAATGCAAAGATACTGAGTTTTACTACACATGAGAAGAAAAAGGAAGTAAATCCTCATTAATACAAAGCTGGAACTGGGGGCTATTGGGCATTTTGAAAAATCACCTAAACAATAAACATATTAAAATACCTGCAGATTAATTTCCTGTTGATCATCTAATGAGTATATTGACTAATAGTTTGAGCTCTAACAGACAGAAACATGACTGAGATGCAAACACTATGCCCTGCTAAGCCTGAATATTCAATCTTCTGTTCTAGAAACTGTACAAATTCAAACTATACATTTAGTTAACGTCTTGGGAACCGAAGCTGGATGAAAGTTGCATTAGATAGCGTGAAACTGGCTGGAAAGTTCTTACAGCCCTGTGAAATAGCCTCCTCTGAACATCCAGCCACACCATGCACACGCCAACATCTACAAACCAGAGACAGACACACACTCACACACGACGTGACATCCATAGCTGTGTCATTTAGCCCTGCCAGTACCCACCCCCGTCCTCGGGTGAGTGGGCGATGCCATGCATATTTACTGCAGGTGCAGCAGGTGTGATTATGGCTGAAAGAACGTAAGTGAACGCTGACAGCTCTCCCTGCTGGTTGGACGCTGGCACTGCAGCTGCTCAAGGTGTCGGTTAAAGCCTGAGTAGAAAATGGCTATATATCGATAATGCTATGAGGTGTTTGCGGCTACTCAAATCCTTTCTTCCAAACATTATGTGGTTCAGTATTTAGACCCCACTACCTTCTAAATAAGGACTTTTTATTACCACGCTCTCTTCCATTTTTGAGACTCTTCACCTTCTTCATGCATTAACAAAAACATTAAACCCAATCCAATTAAAATCCTGCTGTCTTTGGAATATTTCCCCCAGGAACTGAAATCCTCACATGATCACTTACTAATCTTTGACAGGTACATAGGCTTTACTATAATACTCATATTGTGCTGAATTATCACCACCATGTAAGGAAAAATCTAAACACATGATTAGTTTTTCAGACTTACAAGATGTCGTCTTTGTATATGTCTAATAAATCTCATCATAGTGTGTTGAATATATTGTAAATATACTGTAATATAGCCTACAATATAAGTGTTCAGCGTTATGTACAACGTATCCTGGATGTTTACAAAGAGTATGGATAACATATTTCCTTTTACATTTCCAGTATCAGACTTCATCATAGACTTATTGTACACAGGAGGAGTAACATCAACAAACAACTGTAAAATACTGTAAAAATACTGAAAAAACAAGAACATTCAGGGTCTGCCTGGTGAGTGTTAAAATAGGGCTCATAAATGAGAGGTTATACATACAGACAAGGATTACATGTTGGGATATGGCAGTGGCATGAGAAGAAAGGCCTGAATGAGCCCAGAGAACGACTGTGCTGCCCTCGGGTTTGCCCCCAAAGTAGTAAAAGGCCTAAAAGAAGCTGAGCTGGATGCAGGCATGCGGATCACCGGAGAAAACAACATTCAGCTAAGAAGTAGAAAGAGAACAAAAGCACGTCACAGGACAGAAGCAAAAGCAACTGGGAAAGAGATCGTCTGTTCAAGTAGAGCAAAAAAGAAGACGTCTCCTTATGAGATACAGTTGTGTTGCTGCATATCAGGAGCACTGTGAACTTTTACTGATGCTGTCGCCTCTACATGGCCATCAGTAGAGAGGAGAGGAGAGGAGAGACGAGCTGCACCATCTCATGCTGCACCCTCAGCTCTTCTTCATTACGTGTTGTGCACTGTCAGAAGATTCAGTTTGACGCCGCCCTTAGTGAAATACGCACAGGAGCTAAAAGCTGCTCCGCCAGGCTCCTGTGTGGAATGTGAACACACCATGGTGATGTGGCAAAACAAGGAACTGGAATGTAATGGCTCCGGGAGACCTGCTGATATATGACAAGTCCAGGAACTGTCACAGCACTTCAGATCAGAGTAGCGGTAACAATCCATCTGATATCAAATCCTCAGTTGTGTAGGATGTGATGTTTTAAAATGTGTAAATGTGGTTGGTCCCAAACGGTCACAAAATAAGGAGGGAGAGCATGGTCATAGAGGTGTCTTGAAAGAACAAAGGGGAGAAAAGCAAAGGATGCTGGATGTAGGTCCCCATGTGGTGCCCTGCTCAATCTGCAGGCATCCTCTGTATCTCAGTGCACAGTACAGTCAGCTGCCGCACCCAGCGAACGTTCTCAAAGACACCTCGTGTCTGCAGGTCTGTGACTTCCCCACCTTCTGCTCCAACATCCTCGCTGGGGTTTCCAGCCACGCTAACAGTCACAGGATCTGCAGCGCCTCTGTAGGTAAGAAGACTGGGGTGCCGGGTAGGGCGTCATAGTTGGGGGAGGGTGTGGGGTAGACCCTCACTCCTCCTCCCCCATCAAGCAGAGCTCCAAAGCCTTCTGGATCTCTAATAAAAACCTATGCAGGGAGACAGCCTGCCGCTGGCAGTGCAACGCCGTGCCGCTCCCGGCGCCCCCGCCCCTTCTCACTTTTTGACTGCCTGTCGGTAGCTGTGCCTCTGGCCTTCCGGCCGAAGCTTACTGCTGCAGCCACTGGCTTTGCTGCTGTTGCCTCCGTCCCGGGTGCTGCTGGCGATGCTGGCCTGGCTGCTGTCCTGCAGCGTGGGACTGGAGTGAGCCCTCTGCAGCGCGTTGTCCTCCAGGAGCTGCGACTCAAACACAGACAGGTCCTCCTCACCGCTTCGGATTTTAGCTCGCAGAAGCATGATGTAAGTCCCGTACCGTGTTTTCTATTGAAGTGGGAGTGTGTAAGAGAAAGGCAGCAAATTTAGGACTGGACGACTGAGAGGTCTGCAGTTCTCTAACAATGATTTAATGATGAACTGCTTTTGCCATTCACATCTTTCTCTGAGTCCAACTCACCTCAAACTCCAGATACTCGTCTCGCTGGCGGTACTCTTCCAGCTCGCGCCCTTTGACCTTGCGGTCAGGAGGATAAGAGCGCAGCTCAGCCAGTTCCGTGGAGATGGCTCTGAATCGAGCTTCATGGGATCTGACCTGCTCCTCCTGTAAGCACAAGGTCAACACTGCCATCAAGCAAGATGAGGAAACAATAAACCACATGCCTGTTTAATTTTTTCTGTCTTGCTTATTTTATCCCACTGCATTACTGTGTACCTGTCCCCACCTGTCCGCTAATCAGTGTCTAACCAGCTCCCCAACACATTCACCAGCCACTTTCTTGAAGTCCCATGTCAAGAGGAGGGTAAGCACCACTGAAGCACTGAATCCGACCTCTGTCCTCTGACCCAGATGTCTGGCTGTCCTGTCAGCAGCACTGCCTAAAGAGCTGAGATAGTAGCAGCTGACCAGACTGTCCGCACAGTGGCGGTTTTTGGCATGGGCGAACCGGGCAACCGCCCGGGGCAGCATTTTTTCATGACACGTGGGGGGTGGCACAAGCACTGGGAAAGAAAATAATCTGAGCTCAGAGCAGGGTCTCGCCCGGGTAGTAATTCAGTGTAGAACCGCCACTGTGTCCGCACCACGCTGACCGGTGTCAGAGGTTTACTAGACAAAAATATTTGTCAATTGGCCATCATGGGAATTACAGAGAAAGAAGAACACTGTGTTTACTTATTGATTAGATGATGTAAAGTCCCTTTGTTGCCTTTCCTTTAGGACTTTTTGCCTACCTTACTCTTTTTGCAACAAAGACAAAGACATTTTGAACTACAGACGCAATATATCGAGTTTCTATCGAACTTCCCCTTCTGAGTCATGCATTTGAGCCCATAGCCTGCAACCAAGAACCTTGATAAACACATACAATATTGATTTCATTGTTGTTGTAAAGTAATATATCACATGTTTCCCTGTAGCCAAAGCTCAGTGGTCTTATGTATGTCAGTGTTTTGGTGCCACTGTGACAACATTTTTACATTACAATGACACTTTTCTCTCACTGGTCATGGTGTAACAACATATATTGCTCAATAGAAC